ACTCCCAGCGACCTCTACCATATCATCAGGCCTTACTGCAGGAGAGTGGACATGGACCGGCTCCGGCACGGCCATTTGTCTTACACATAATCTATGAAATACCTACGGAGTGGCTCCTAGACTCCTTCATGGCCGGGGGCCTGATCTCTCCGGGCGGCCGTGACCGGTCAGCGGACCGTGTCAGCAGGCCCGTGACATGTCAGCCGGCTGACAGGGGCCGTGACCCGGCTGACAGGCTCACCTGACCGGTCACGTGACACATCACGTGACCGAGACAAGACTTTTTTATATCGCAGATCCAAAAACCCATAGGACATTTCTCCCAGGGGGAAGAAAACCTCCCTTGACCCCCCTGTTTCTCGACGGATCCTGCCGGCCGGGCCCGTCAGTAGACCGACTGCAGCCTTCAGCCCCGCCTCAGACCCCCTGGAGGCCCGCCAGGAGGCTAAGTGTCCGGAGATTGGCCGGGGGCCTGATCTCTCCGGGCGGCCGTGACCGGTCAGCGGACCGTGTCAGCAGGCCCGTGACATGTCAGCCGGCTGACAGGGGCCGTGACCCGGCTGACAGGCTCACTGACCGGTCACGTGACACATCACGTGACCGAGACAAGACTTTTTTATATCGCAGATCCAAAAACCCATAGGACATTTCTCCCAGGGGGAAGAAAACCTCCCTTGACCCCCCTGTTTCTCGACGGATCCTGCCGGCCGGGCCCGTCAGTAGACCGACTGCAGCCTTCAGCCCCGCCTCAGACCCCCTGGAGGCCCGCCAGGAGGCTAAGTGTCCGGAGATTGGCCGGGGGCCTGATCTCTCCGGGCGGCCGTGACCGGTCAGCGGACCGTGTCAGCAGGCCCGTGACATGTCAGCCGGCTGACAGGGGCCGTGACCCGGCTGACAGGCTCACCTGACCGGTCACGTGACACATCACGTGACCGAGACAAGACTTTTTTATATCGCAGATCCAAAAACCCATAGGACATTTCTCCCAGGGGGAAGAAAACCTCCCTTGACCCCCCTGTTTCTCGACGGATCCTGCCGGCCGGGCCCGTCAGTAGACCGACTGCAGCCTTCAGCCCCGCCTCAGACCCCCTGGAGGCCCGCCAGGAGGCGGAGTGTCCGGAGATTGGCCGGGGGCCTGATCTCTCCGGGCGGCCGTGACCGGTCAGCGGACCGTGTCAGCAGGCCCGTGACATGTCAGCCGGCTGACAGGGGCCGTGACCCGGCTGACAGGCTCACCTGACCGGTCACGTGACACATCACGTGACCGAGACAAGACTTTTTTATATCGCAGATCCAAAAACCCATAGGACATTTCTCCCAGGGGGAAGAAAACCTCCCTTGACCCCCCTGTTTCTCGACGGATCCTGCCGGCCGGGCCCGTCAGTAGACCGACTGCAGCCTTCAGCCCCGCCTCAGACCCCCTGGAGGCCCGCCAGGAGGCGGAGTGTCCGGAGATTGGCCGCATTCCATTGGGTTCTCAACTGGATTTTATTCCGTCTCGGCGGGGTCTTTTTCTACCTGGATTTTTCTTAATGAATAGGTTTTGGATTTCAAAGTGAAAATTTTCCTTGAAATGTTTTACTTCTGTCAAACCACGCCATTTCAAATTGTGGGATCCTGCCAGCACCGTGCCATTTCTGGAATTTTTAAACGTTGTACAGAATGTACCAATGTTGTACACTGTGTTAGTTTGGGAGACTCACGTTCAAGCAGATCGCGCCCTGTGGGCACCATGTTGTGAGATACATACATCAATGTGATGACAAGAACATCTTTTGATGCCAAATTTGACCAGATTTGAATGTATCATGTGGGAAAACGACTGCATTTCCTTTAAGCAGAGTGTTTTGAGGATGATGCATATCATGTTGCAATAAGAATTTTGTGGAAAGGAAATATTTGAATCTCAGTTCGTTGAGTTGCGTGTAAATGCAAATATGCTTTGAAGCATTGTGAGCATAGTTGTAACTGTGCATTGACTTGTAATAGTGTAAGGTATGCATTCAAATTTGCATGCTCACGCTATCCAATAATTGTGTGACTTTCCTTGTCATACTTGCACTGAAACACCTCAATTCTGATGTGCCAAAGCCCTGATCAGCTGTTTTCACACTTTCAGAAGGGAAACATGAAAGGAATCGATCAGAGAGGCAACCTTCGAAGACATAAAGGAAATGCGATTCTCCTTATTGCGATGACGGCCTAGCTTCCTGTACCAGAATGCTTCGTCGGTTGTATATGAAACATATTTCAAGAGACTTGCTGGTGCTTTGCCATGATTGCATTTTTTGAGGCTTCTCCCAATGCATTCCACAACAGTTTGAGTCTTGTGAAATGCTCTCAACAGCCAGTGGGATGGCGATTATAACATGTCATTGGAGTTTGTGAGGCACTGAGAGGGAGGAGAGAGGAGGGGACAGGGGAGGTGGGAAGGAGATGGGAGAGTAGGGGTTGGAAGGGAAAGAGAAGCCTGGGAGGTCACTGCGATGATATGCTGATCGCGAGAGACTGGGAGATGCCAGAGGAGAGACGGTTTACTCAAGACCACTAGCGAGGAAGGGATGCTTCAGAGCCTCCTCTGCAGTCATCCTCGTGCGGGGATCGATGTCGAGGCAGCGGTTGAGGAAGTCCCAGATCGCATGTTTCTCCTCCACCTCCAGCCAGCCCTTGCATCCCGCATCCTCGCTCAGGGCGCTTGATAAGGTCCGCCATGTTTGCTCCAAACCGCGGGCATAGCTCAGATACTGTTCCAATGGTCCGAACTGAATGACATGAAGTTAGCATCCCCAGCTTAAGAGTCCCGCCACCATATCACCCTCATCCTCATCCTCATCCTCATCCTCATCCTCATCCTCATCCTCATCCTCATGATACAACAACAGCAGCAACAACGACAACAATTTTACTTCAACGTCGAGCTTGAAATCTTCGATGACATCTCTGATCTTATCCCTGTACTGACCCGTATACCCATAGTTGTGCTGGAACTCAGCGTCCATGCTCTTGATGTACATGCGCAAGCTGTTCAGACCATACAGTCAGACCAGCGCACTTACTTCAAGGCTTACACAACGGGCGTACCCGTAGATCTCCATGACCGCCAAGTTGTCATTGTCATGCCGGAACCACTGGAAGCAGTGTGTCTGCCGGCACAGCAGGGTAAGCAGTATCACCCCAGCGCTCCAGACGTCCACTGCTGTCGTCTGGTGGTGGCTGCCCATGAGCACTTCGGGCGCGCGGTACCCCCGGGTTCCCCCGCGGTTGACTGGAAGCCGTTTCAGTTTGACCCCTGAGTTCCTCACGGTCTCCGATGCGTTCGTCCTTCTGACGCCCAACCTTCGCCTCTTTGCAATCTGCTGCGCCAGGTTCTCAGAGGGCAAGATGTAGCCGTTGCTCTTCGTGGCAGGGAAATACTTGCTCATTGACCCTGACGTTGTTCTGCGGCCTGGTGAAGGCGTTTGTCCTGTGGAAATTCCCAGAGCAGTCTTCTGCATTTTCTTCTCTGCCAGCCCAAAGTCCACAAGCAAGTACTTCTTGTTCCTTCTGTCGTAGAGGAAGTTATTCAATTTCACGTCTCGATGTATGATCCCGAGGGCATGTACAGACCTCATTGCTACAAACAAATTCTTCATGTAGTGGGTAATCTCTTTGATGGTCAAATCTTTGACGTAATCTGAGGGACTGTCATGTTCGAAGTATTCAAAAATCAAAGCCTGCTGCTCCTCGACAATGATTATCCCATTGGGCGCCAGTGGCGGACTTTGCACACGCTGTACAATGTTGGATTTTCCATGCAAGCTTGATATAAAGTTTGCTTCCTTCTTATGCGCATCCATAGTTTGAAATGGTAATAATCGTTTGATTGCTACTCGGCGATCATTTAACCTGTCGTAGGCCTCATAGACCTCCCCGAAAGTCCCCGAGCCAACCATTCTTGTTAAATCAAACTGCTTTTCTACTTCATTGAGAAACCGCATGTCCACTGGGTAGATCATCAGCTCTTCTCGTATTGAAATTTTCTTGTGTGCAGCCTCTTGATACACAATGTTATCAGCACTCCGACTTCTGCGCTTGCGGTTTCGCAGAGTTTCCATACTTGCCGATCGTTCTTCCTCTGTTTCGCGGGCCCTCTGCCTCCTCTCCGATTGTCTCCTTCGTTGGCTTGCTAACTGCGCAGATCGTTCTTCCTCTGTTTCGCGGGCCCTCCTCTCCGATTCTCTCATTCGTTGGCTTGCTAACCGCGCAGATCGTTCTTCCTCTGTTTCGCGGGCCCTCCTCTCCGATTCTCTCATTCGTTGGCTTGCTAACCGCGCAGATCGTTCTTCCTCTGTTTCGCGGGCCCTCCTCTCCGATTGTCTCCTTCGTTGGCTTGCTAACCGCGCAGATCGTTCTTCCTCTGTTTCCCGTTCCCTCCTCTCCCGTTTTCTTCTTCGATTGACCTCCAACTGCGCAGATCGTTCTTCGTCTGTTTTCTGCCAATGCATTGTTTTGTTGGGATAAGCAGAACATACACCCCCTGGCAAATTTCAAAGTGCTCCCAAATATTTGGGATATGTCAAATCAGATCGTTACATTTTGTAATCAGACGCAATGGGTTTGGCAAAACAGGCATAAATTATTCACGGCGGTGTTGACGGGCCTTGGCGCTGTTGACGGGCACATGTCGCGCCAACGATCAGCTGCGTTGAGAGGCATCGAGACCAGAAGAAATGGAGATAGAATGTCCTCCATTGAAAACATTGACTTTCAAGATGTACCACCTTCCATTTTGCATGAACCCCTGATCTTGGAGATTCAAAGTTCCCTCCTATCTCAACCTCAGAGTTCGATTGAAGCTCGATGGACAAATAGCACCCTGGGCTTACGGGTTCTTTTAACTCCTGGTTGTGGAATCCGCTATCATGAAGATGATCCTGCAAGAACCACAAGGTACGGTATAATCAAACGTTTGGTTTCCGATTGCAGGGTGGAGATTTTCATGTTGTATGACAAGAATGTCATACAACAGATTTTCATGTTGTATGACAAGAATGTCATACAACATGTTGTATGACTTTTGGACAAAGTTGATGCAAATATTTCAAAGCATGGCTTACAAAACAAGTCCATGAGGCAGATTGTGAGGTCGATGAATGCGAGAACATGCTTCCAATCAGTGTACACGGAAGAAGTGGACCTGGACCTGATTCAGGATGTGCTAACTATTCAGTATCCATTCCTTCTTGATTCTATGTCGTCTCAAGCACCGCAATCAAGGATTATCGATGTTGTAGGGTACATTTTCTTCAATGAAGACAACTACAATCGTCGAAAGCCCTATTGTGAGATTTCGTACTTCAAATTGCAAGACCCTGAACAAACAATTAAGAAGATAGTATCTTCCAGCATCGAAGCTTCAGTGCTCACACCATCCGGTTACCTCAAGACAGTCTCAGACATCGAAGAGATTAAGAACAGCATGCAGCTATGGCTCACAGCCAGGAGTCGTACATTCAAGAAAGCAGGCACACAAGATCTTGACTTTACTTGCAAGAATATTTCAATGAGGAGTTTGCTTCGTTTAATTCCACCTCGTCTTTTCAAACATGTCAAGGCGAAGAGGAACAAATCACAATTCACATGGATATTTGCAGAGAACATCGTTCAAGATAAAGCTTTCAGAGAAGTGTTAGATATCCCTTTCAAGTCGACACCGAAGCTTCAAGAAAATCTGACACAAATGTTTGTGGGCGGACCGATGTATTTGTCGTACAAACGGGGGAATATGTCCGTGGGTTTTGAAACAGTCGGTAGCATTGGTGGCATGATGGGCAAGATCCAATGGGTTGATTGGCGAGACAAGAAAAAGAGGCAACAGAGAGTGTTATAAATCATGGGCAACTAAGAGTAGTACAAATTTACAATCGTTCCTAATCCTGACGTTAGCAAATTTCTGAATGCAAAAAAATTGCTCATATTCCTAGACATTTGCTGCAGAGTCGCTGTATCTACATGATCCTCGGTCATGTTTTCATGAGATCGTTTTCTACCTGCTGCTGCATTGCCTTCCATCAATCCTTTTCTCCAAGCAGGTCGTCCGCAAATTCTGTGCCTTAGTTCCAAACTTGACATGCTCAGAGCACCCAAAGTAACGTTTCGTTCTGAAAGATGATAGTGGAATAATTCTGCGACATGTCCGGCAGATAAAAAGTGAAAATACACAGCACTGAAGAGTTCCTTATCGCCGCATTCTACGACGTATCTGATAACGAATGAATTGATCCTCGTCGCTAATGTACCAATGTCTTCATCGGTAAGATGGGAAACATGCGTACATGACAATGTCGAAAGTACGGATGACAACTCTTTGTAGATCTCAGTGTATCTATTTCGCTCATCAACATCATCATAAAGGAGGTCGAGTAGGGGTCCCATAGCTCGGTTCAACAAATCGTCGCACTGTTTGCCTGTCAAGTTAGGAAGCTTCCCATTGCTTTCTTCCAACTTATACTTGATTCCAGACTTGTGTAAAATGCTTTGAGCTTGTTTAGTTCGGTGCTTTCGTTGAGCTGTTTTGTATACACACTTGAGGACACAGTATACAATCCGCAATTTGAGATGGAGAACACAAATGACAAGGCTTTTGCAATCAAGTCCATGTTCTTTCAAAACCTCATGTTCTCTTTCCATTCCGTGATCCTGCTTCAGTACGACCACCTTCTGCCCACGTTTCAGTGTCTTGCTCCTTTTTGACACATTCAGCTTAGACACGTCTGCCTTGCTCAAACATTTTCCACCGAACATGCATTGATGTACGATACTGCATTGCCCTCCATTGGTTAGCACTTCGTGAACCAACCAGAACACATCTGCTGGAATCGCTCTTTCCTTGCAGAAATCATCGACAGTGATGTCCTCAGGAACCTCCGCGATATCGAAGATGAGATGACGCTCAGCTGATTTTACATGGCAGTACAAGCAGCATTGATCTCCCTTGGCACCTATGCGAAAATGACGTTTAGAAAGGACACTGAGGCAACCATGCTATCAGCAATTACCTTTCATGCCGACAAGATGCCACAAGCCCTTGAGGTCGCCACGAAATTCAATTGAGAGGGGAATGATGAGCTCAGGATGAGCAGCAGGGTCACTCATGGACCGTTTGCGACCATCGATGCACGTCAAATTTCCATTGTCGTCCCTGTAAAAATGCAGCCCAGCAGCTATCTTCCTTCCATCCGCACAGATCAGTTCGCCTAAGAATGCCTTCAAGTCAAGTCCATATTCATCCCAAAGATTTGCCTTGATATTTTCAATTGAATCTTGCAAATAGATCAGTAAAAATGTGACATACGATGCAGGAGAATTTAATCTTGTTTCTTGATCGAAAAAACAGTCTGCAAACTGCACGGCATCATCCCAGACTCCAATCAAATTCATTGCAAAGTCTGTATGCTCTGTTCCTGACTGAGCTGAACAGCCTAGTCGGACGCTATCGAAGCAGGTGGACAACTTCAATCCTTTGACCGACATCAATTCTGGTGTCGACTGCACAAGCTTCATGAAAAACAGTTCCGTCACTTTGATAAGATTTGCTCCATGGCCCCCAGGAAGCTCGACTATTCCATCAACCTTTTCTTCTACTAATCTTTTTTGCTTGGCCTTCGTCCTGCTGATTTCCGTAGGACTGTGCATAACTTGAAGCCCACTTTCCTTCATCATTTTGTGAAGATCGTCCAACGCCTTGTGAGTCAGTCCATTTTGCAAAGTCATAAGAGAAAGCTCGTCTATTCTCGCACAAACAGAGTTGTACATTTTTTGCAACGCTTTCTTTATCCTCTTGTTGGTCTTGGCATGCTTTTTCAAATGAAAAGATGCAGATTGTGCAAAACCATTCATAAACGACTCCAGGTGAAACAGTGAATCGGAACTTTGACGTAGATCACTGAGATGGCCGAAAGCTTTGCCACTTCCATTCAAGCCTGTCATGCGTTGCAGACCTCCAGAGAGCAAATTGGAGGTGGGAGTTATTTCAGCAAGAATGTCCTTGAGAATTCTTAGCTTTTTGTCTGCAGAATCATTGGAAATGTCTTCCAGATTTGCCGGGCATATCTCCTGAGGGAAATTTGCTTTCCAAATGTCCTCAAATGTCAAATTTAGAACCTTGTCAATGTTGGGAATTGCATCTTTCATGCGCTGATGCTCACTTTTGAGTTTTTCATATTCTGCACTCAAGTGTGCCAACCGACTCGCGCAATTGAAGTAGCCTTGCAGAGTACTTCCAACAACAGACGATGGCGAAAAAAGATATCCGTTTGCAACGTAGTACAAGAAAGAAGCAACATCAGGCTTATCAGAAGTTTTCTCCATGAAGCCTTCCAGCAATGCAAAATGTTCAAGTCCCCTCCAGGTAGCTTCATCGTAGTTGACACGACGATAAGGTGTTGGATTCAAGCCTTGTAGGAATGCCATCGTGTAGCTGTCCATACTTCGAACAGGATAAGCTTGAACAATTCGCTGCATGTCGTAGCCATCCAAAGGGCGGCGGTAACAACATGGATGAAAAGGATTGAAATCTTCCACACGACATCCGCACTGCTACACATATAGAGAATACCAGAAAA